TAAAGAAAGAAAAAGAAAAAAAAGAAAAAAGAAAGAAAAAAAAAAGTAGGAAATACATGATATCTTCACGATGCATCTAGCTTATTTAACCCCATCCGCGAAACACAAACCCCTTCGAAAACGGGCCGGACAGTGGTATGTTGTGTGTGCGTGTGCGGTGCGATGGTTCCACCACCAACCACTCTTCATCGTGCGGGCGAACATGGCCGCCATGATTGTATCGTGCCGGTACTTTGCCCTGTAGCGTACAAGTACAGTACCGGTACGATTAGATTTCCTGGTTGGTGTCTTGATTAACTCTTCGAGACATTTCGTACCGTACCGTACGAGTACAGTACAGTTATCCAATGCACAACCCCCCCCCCCCGATATCATTTACCAGATCCATCATGCCGTGTTGTACTGTATACCGGTATTACTTGCTGCAACTGTACGAGTACGGTACGGTACAGTACAGTACCAAATTCGATAAAGTTCACCATGACACAACTCCATATCCCGTAGATCCGTGAAAAAATTAATTACGGTGTTTCCCCAGAATCCCGGATGCGAGAGGTAGGGTAGGGTAGCGTACCTAAGCATACAGTAACAGTTCGGAGATAGCGGCTATTATGATTCTACTGACGCGAGGAGGGGGGGGGGGGGGTAAGTGGGGAGGAAGGGAGGAGGGGGGAGTGGGATGTTTTTTTTTTTTTCCTCTCTCCCGGCCATCCGCGTGCGGGTGAAGAACCCTCGAACCCTCTTCTTGCAAATAAATGAATTTTTATTATCTTTCTTTCGAGGGGATGTGTGTGCGTGTGTGTGTGTGTCTCTCACGTCATAAGCTGCTTCGTGTAGTGCCTGACTGACCTGTATTATCTATCTATCTATCTATCCATCCATCTATCTGATCCATCCACGTTTATTCATTCATTCAATCAATCAATCATTCATCTATTATGCATTGAATGCGAGGAGCGTGAAAGTGGAAAGTGTGGGTTAACGCGGGTGCTAGGAGACTTTTTTAATCTGTCAAGTGTGATGCTATAACTAACTAGTGGTGCTCTACTCTACTCTGCTCTGATTTACTCTGCTTTAGTCTACCAAGTAAGTTTATGTATGCATGATGTGTGGGTATGTGCATGCATGTATGATATGCGAACAATTTTTTTTTATCTTTTTTATTTTATTTTTAATTCTCGTGGGTTGCAGTGCAGCTTGTTAATGTCTGTTATATATCATACCGTATCATGCGGCTGGTAATTTATTATTACGATATGTTGTGTATGTTGTGGAATGCGCTAACGGAATAGGTAAGTTCTGAGAAGGTTCTAAGACCACATTCCTTCCTTCTTTCCTTCATTCCTTCCTTCGCAGCACGTTGCACGTTGCACTGATTAGATGGAGAGGGAGGGGGGGGGGGAGGAGAAGAAGGAGAAGAAGATTGGGAATTTGCCCTTCTCTGCTTTTTTGATTATGGTGGGTTCTCTTTTTTTTGTATTACGTGCTGTGCCTACCCGGCCGGTTGTGGAGTCCCCGGACGAGCGTAAGGGGAAGAAAAATCAAGATTTTTTGAAAAGAAAAAAAAGTTCGCGGTATCGTAGGGTACCGGTTTTGGTCGGATTGGGATCTCTGACTGAGGACAGTACTGGTACAGTATCATACCGGTGTGGAAGTAAGTTGTCGTGGTTGACTTCCGGGATTGGATGGTGGTGTGTTGAGTGTGTTCGACCGAGCTCGCGCCTTGTGGAGGAAACGGAATCTCTTTACTTTGTGCTGAGCGGACTTGGTTGGCTGGTTGGCTGGTCCGGGCTACCGTTGGGTCTATGATCTTTGCGGAAATGGTACTGTACTCGTACTGTATTGTACTCTACCTGGAGCGGATTAAAATAGAAAGTATGGTATTTCAGGATTTTCATACCGGTATGATATACTCGAGTACCGTACTCGAGTATGCATAATACCAAGGCTTTTCTTTCTTTCTTTTTTAGGGCAATGTGGACCCTGAATTGAACTAACCCTTTACTACCGCGTGTACCGGTACTGTGCAGTACGGTACCCTATGGCGGCAACATTGGGAATCATTTCCCGCAGATGGCGAATGTGATGCGGTGAGATGAAGTGCACGCAAACCTCCACGGCAACCCCCTCCACCCCCCGGAGTATCCGGACGCGACGTCTCGAATTGTCGACTATCATACCGGTATCTTGCCGACCGTGGATATTTTTGACTCGGTGCAGGAGGGACCGCTCCGCTCTTCACCGTCTCCTACCGCCCCCCCCCCCTGGGATCTTTTGGTCGCCGATTCCCTGAGTACGCCCACTGTACGGCAGGTTCGGTCTGATCGTCCCTGTCGTTGGGGGTAACGGTACCATCGCCGGATATTCTGACTTGGTGGCACTCGAGTACAGTATTGTACTAGATTCGCACATGCTTTTTCGTCTTGCTATCATACTCCGTTATCATGGGATACAGGACGGTCTCTCCGTCCGACTATCCTTCCTAGTTCAGAGCTGGTCGGTATTGAAATATGCGGGAACGTGTTCGAGACAGGCTGATGTCGCCCCCCTTCCCTCCCCCCACTCCCCCACCCCTTCGGTATCGGGAAACTACCGGTTGCCTCATTTACTGCTCGAATTCGACCTGCCACTATCAAATACTAATTTGTGAAGGGTTTGGTAGAGTGGGCAAAGAACGATATTAAGGTACAGAGTCGGTGAAATGTGCTGGTATTGCCATACCGATACATGTGAGACTCTAAGCCGATTGGAGGCAAGTTCTTGTTGGCGGTGAATCGAATTTTGAGCAGTCAATGCGATATTCTCGCCCTTGCGTGTATCATTGAGCTTCTTGGCTCCTCCGGTGTGATGGTTAGCTGACTAGCCAGCATACACTGCGGTTAGTTAGCTGCACTGCACAGCATACTTGTACAGTATATCGGCCAAGTGTGATATTCAGTAATTCACACAGAGCCTACCCCGTCGAATATGTTTCATCTTGATGATGGCTGTTTTCCTAATTTCCATCTCGGCTGGGACCCTTCTCACTTTCCCCTGTTCCTTTTTTTTCTTCCCCCTTCCGCGGCTGCTGTTGTTGCTGCTGTTGCTGTTGTTGCGTTCCTAGTTCGTGTCGTTGCATGGCATGGGAAACTGGAAACTTGGAGACAGAAGCCGGTGTTCAGTCAGCGCACCCGCGGGCTAGAATGGGCCGGGATGGACCGGACTGCAATAACTTTGGTAACCGTGAATCATCCTTTAATAATTCCAATTGGTGGCGAATGTGATATCCCTTTCCCACGAAACAACAACAGCAACAACGACCCACAGGCGCCGACACCACCGCCATACCGGTATCAGACATGGTCCCGCTCCAACACCCTCGGATGGGAGATCCCTTGAAGAGATCTTCTGGCATCTTGGCAAGGCAACTCCTTCCCGCCTACAAGTACTCATCTACCGGTACAGTACGAGTACCATAGCCAGCTCGGTGGGGTTTCGGATTATCTTTACTGCTTTCCTGCAAATTTCGATCGATTTACTCAGACACCTCTGATCTTCAATTCGCCTTTTCCCTAGCGCCGGCCCATCAACATCGCAGGGTTCGCAGCGGCATCAAGCATCATCTCCGCTCGAAATTGGGAAAACCTCTTATCTCTCGCGTTGTGCGAAGTGGAGCGAAATACGGTGGTCCGCTCGTGCATCTATCTGGAGGAAAGAAGAAATATGGTAATTGCGATCCCCTTTCCCTCTCCCCACGCATGCTGCACCTCCGGGCCGGAGAGGCGAGAGAGATCTAACCGGTTTTAACGAGTACCCTACCGGTATGGGACCAAGGCCAGGATGCTGCATGGGTGAGTATCAATCAACGTGTGGCCGTCCATGCTCAAAGGGGATCACAATCAAAATTGGAGGGGTGGGCAATTTCACAGGCACGATAATACGATTAAAAATAATAATTAGAGCTCGAGTTGCGAGATAAAGTAGCAATCCCCTTCCTTCCCCCTCCCCCGACGTCCGAGCCCGTTTGCGGAATATGATCGACACAGGGTAACTCCCCAACTGATTGGACGGGAATAACCAACCGAACCGCAAAGCCTCGGGAATGGCGAAAGGTACCGTAGGGTTCGAGAAAAAAAAATATAAAAGAAAAAGTAAGAAGGAAAGCCCAATGTCTCACCAAAGCTTTGGTACTGGTATTTATTTTTATACAGTAGTGTTTTCATTCTTTTTCCTTTTTGTCTTCCCTTTTTCCCTCACACATACCGGTAATATGATACTCCTACGCTTTAAAACTTTATCCTTGAAGGGCACGAGTATGAAACCGCATGCAACGGGGGCCAACAATCCGCGCACCAGAATGTGAGGATGGGCACCGGCGAACGAGTGCGGGAAATCCATTAAATGGCCGTATATTTCTTTTCTTTTGGCATTTATGGACGGATGGGTGGATGGGATCTTGATGCCCTGTTTTGCGTGAGGTCCGATATCCGTGACGTTTTGCCCGCTCACCTGCTTGTGATGATACCTCGGCTGTCAGTTTTTTTTTTTTTTTTTTCCTTGCTGGAGAGAGAACAAAACTGACAAAACGCCACTGCCGGCAAAAGGATTTACCTTGGATTTGGGGAAATAGGAAGGTTCCTGAATCTTTAAAACGACAGCTGAGATTTTCTACCCCAGGATTTCGCCATAAATTTGCCCTCTCTCCCTCTCCCTCCTTCTCCGTGTCAGCACTGCAGTTCAGCCATCATGTAGGTAGCTATAAAGATTCGAAAAATATATTAAAAAGAAATCGAGAGATGTCATTGTGAAGATGTCCGATATACACGCGGTACGCTACATCCATTTGAAATAGATGCAGAGCAAGTATTGTAGAAGAAAGGGCAAAGCCTCACACCCACAAGGGAGAAAGAAAAAAAGAAAAAGCCATTATCAGTATGATATCCCCCCCCCCCCTCTCACACCCATTTATTTAGCCTACCGTACCGCACCCGGTTCCGCCCTACACTATATCGTATCGTATCATATGCATACGTGCGGACCAACCCACCACGCGAACTCAGCCACGGCCAAACCATCAATCAATCTTTCGAAAAAATAATAATTTTAAATTGAAAAGATTAAATTAAATTAGGAATTTAAATGCTTACTGTGTTGTAGATCTACCATCCATCTATTTATCTATCTATCTACTCGTGTGATACCGGTATGAGGACTACCAGCATGGCAGAGGACAGTAAAGTACAGTACAGTACTTACTGTTACCAGAAGCATTACGACATACATACGTATAGTATAGTACGTACGCCCGCTGCGGGATGGATGGATGGATGGATGGATGTGAAGAGCTAAGCCAGGACAGACAGGCAATTCCCTCTCTGGTCGGTGGGGATTTATGGGTATTGGTAACCTTTCTGGCCTGGTCGGGGTAAATGGCTCGGATGGGGGTTTGTTTTGTTTTGTTTTGTTTTGTTTTGTTTTGTTTTGTTTTGTTTGTGGTGTACTCTACTCTACTGGACTGGACTGGGCTGGAATGGAACTGGAACTGGAATTGGAACTGGACCTGCTGAGGTGAATGGACGAGTGAGTGAGTGAGTAATCGCCTGCTGTATGCGTGATGTTATATCCTGCCATATACATACCCACCAAGGAACTATTCTTTATTTTCATGTATATATAATTCTATTTCTTGAGCGTAGGAGGGACGAAGTAAAGTCCTCACCCCCCACTCTTACGGCATGATGGTATCATAATCAACGGTAATTGATGACAGAAGGAGGAACAGAGGAGAACAAAGCAAAACTGAAGCATGGATTATCATACATACATACATACATACATACATACATACACACGATACACAAGTGAGTGAGTGATCCAACTTTGATAATAGCAGAAAGGAGGGGAGAGAGAAGCGTCAAGTTGGACAGTCAAGCCGTTTTCCTCCCCTAACCGCACCAGTTATCACGCATTTATTCTAGGTGGTATCGCTGTGGTGGTGAATCCCATTTAGCGTGATTTCCTTTGGGAATTGGTTCTTCCCAAGCTGTTTACTACCTATGATACCTACAGGTATTTACTGTGGCCCTATAGCTATAGTATAGCATTAGTTGTTGGACTTTAGGGTCCCCCCCCACGTGGGTGGGTGATTCTACTGTACGCAGCGCAGGGTTGTGAGTGAGTGAGTGAGTGAGTGAGTGAGTAGCCGTGCACCTCATCCCACTGTATTGTGAATGATCAGTGAGGGGAGTGTATGGGAATATTACGGTTCACTATTATATAAGAAAGAGAGAAAGAGAGAGAGAAAGCTGATGTCATTCCATTACACCGCTCTTTCGGCTGTGATGTGTCCTTGTCATCCGGACTTTGTTTGACAACTCTTTTACCAAGTTATAGTCCTCTTATGATAGCATGCGTATTTATATATATATATATATATATATATTTACCTATGATACATTCTCCATCCCGGACCCTATACTCGTTACTTACTTCCTTCCCCCCCTTCTCACACTTGCTTTCAATTTTTCACCTGACCAAACTTAAACCCCCCTCCCCACTAAACAAACCCCCGAAAGCCAAAGCCGATAACCCCCATCACAGATTCTCACTCGGGTGGGTGACCACCCGACCGATAGATGAACGGAAAGATGGGCGGGAGGGAGGAAGGGAGGGAGAAATCTCGGATGTGATCGCTAATGCAAGGCGAACACGCGTATCTCTAAAGCAACTAGGCAATTTAAAAATTAAAAATAAATGGGTGAAAAAGTGCGGGGAAGAAGAAGCGAGTTGGGTTCGGGCCTTTGTGCGGGGTGGGGAAATGATTGATTGTTGGGGGTGGTGGTGGGATCGGCGGTCTTTTTTCCTGTATCGTACGAGCATGGCACTCTGGGGATAACAATTGGGGGTGATTAAGGTTTTGCCCGTGCTGTTAGTTAAGTCTATGGGACGTCGTGAGAGGGAGGAGGGGGGGGGGGTTTGGTCTCGTGAGTGGTCTAACTTGTTCAGGTGCGATATAGTAAGACTTTAGAGGCTCGGTCTTCGTTCGGCATCTTTTTGGGGGTTGTTTTTCCGAAATTGTGGATGATGAGTGCGTGTTGCATACCGGCACTGTACTCTGTTTCTCAGGTCTGGTTAAAAAAGAGGAAAAAAATCAAGGGAAAGCACCGTAATACGTTATTGCTCTCACGGAGAAATCCCCCAATCCTCATTCCAATCCCTGGAACGGCCTCCCTCTTTCGCCCCCGAGGGGGAACATCCCACCACGCTCACGCCAAAAAAAAACCCCCCACCACACATATCAAGTTCATCCATTCGACATCACCTGATGGATGGACCGATATCAATCCTGAGTTAAACGCGAGAGAGCTCCTTCCCCACGCTGGGTGGGTCGTCCATCTGCCCGTCCGCGAGAACAACTCAGTCCTCGCTGTCAAGTAGCTTTACTCCACCACCACTAACTCGCAGTCAAGTTTACCGAAAGAAAGAGTGGAAAAACAAAAAAAGGAGTGTTCGTGATATCCTGCGGTGGATTTCAATGTGCACTGAACAGCACTGCACTGCACTGCGGTGTGGGTTTGAAAACACCCCTCTTTGCGACGACGACGAGGGCGACAACGACGACAACGCCCCGGGTGCCGAATTCTTGTGTGGTTCCGGCGAGGGCGTGCGGTATATGCTGTGGATCCCAGAACACGATAGTACATATGCTAAGGTACACGTACATGCATACATAGCCGCTGTTGCCGCCGAGTGCTTTTTTTGCTACTAGCGGAAGCTAGCTAGCTCGCTGGTGGCGGACATACGGGTGCTGTATGGTACGGCCGGAGATTGTTTGATATCCCGACGATCATATATTGCTGCAGTTGCAGTTGCGCTGCGGAGTACTGGACGGCAGGTGAAGCGGTATAGCACTCGAGTGAATGATGTACTTTCCTTATGCGCGCGGTGGAGGCTGGCGGGGGGGGGCAAAAAGAAAAGAGAGAAGAGCGGTCCATGGCGCTGCACGGGTAGCTCCACCGAGGAACGACTTCGGCTACCGTTATAATTCCGCGGGATTACTAGAAGTGGAGAACCAGGAGAAGCGGTGTAGAGAAGGTGCCTGTTTGAGCTACCATGGAGCGGGTGGCTTTTTTTTCTTCTTTTTTTTCTTTTTTTCAAAAAACATGGTGCCTTGGCTTTGTTCAAGGGGGGGGCTGTCTACGGTATGTACTCGTATTGTAACTGCACCTGCTACATGTACTGTACATGGACTAATAATACTTGAGCAGTTGGGCGCCGGTGTAGTAGAGTACATATAGCGGTCATTTTACGGTGGTCTTTCTCGCTTATTTTGCACTCTGGGAGGAGGGATGCGTTACGTCCATCATAGAGTATGAGTAGTGTCGGTGTGTGCTCTTGCGAACATACGATAGTGCATGTACCGGTAGTCGACAGTGCATCTCGGGCAGAGTACTCGAGTACCGTTTTTGAGGCTGTTTTTTTTTCCTTCTCATTCCACGGAGGCTGCTGCGCTGACAATTGACCTGAGTAGTGCCGGCAACTATGTAGGAGGAATTGGAGGAGCTGGAGGAGGACGAAGGGGTACAGTAAGAGCTGGACAGAGATCTGCCGTAATGTTCACCATATAACGCACAAAAAATGGGAATGATCAACTCTCACATGGGTCCCAACCGGTGATGGACATGATCCAGGCCCGTGGATCCGCAGCTTGCCTGATAAACTATCATCTCCTTGATGGCCGGTCCTCTCGGAAAGGAAGGGGGATGATTAGGCGTGCTGAGGGGGGGTTTTTTTTTTTACCCTTGCCTATTACCCCTTCGCTTTTTCCGACTGCGGCCTGCTGGCTTGATTGCCCAAGTGCGGTGGGTGCGGGGAGGAGCACGGTAGAGCACCGGTAATAGCATAAACACCTCAACCCCTCCCATTGGATTCTCAACCTACCCGAAATGATCTGAGACGTCCCAAGTATCCCATGGTTCGGCAATCTGGCCCATCCACCCAGCGCCGTGTTGGTCAATCTGGGGTAATATTGCCTTGATTAGGTACAAGTGTGGATGGGGGCGGCGGGTGTGGGGGAAGGGGAGGGGGGGGGGAGTCTCCGAAATTGGGAGTTTTCGGAGATCAGCTTGAGGGTAATTTCAATGTTCAATTCAGAGATTCCCTTCTTCCGAGGCTGTGCAGTATGCAAATCGGTTATCATAATACTAATATTATAGTCGCAAGTAATTTCTTCCTCAGCCAAAAAACTCGGACCTGACTTTTCCTTCATCCTTTTCAGCTGGGAAGGGTTGAGGGGGAGGATCTTCAAACCAATGTCCGCTGCCGTAAGTGAACGGATGACCCAACTGGATTTGTTTTCCCGAGTTATTTCGTGCCGGTATGGTACTCGTGCAGTACGCTAAAAAAGAATCCCTGCCCGGCCCGCTGCTACTGTTGACGTTTTCGTCCTAATCAATTAGCGAGCAGGCAAGTCCCACCCAGTCCAATACCGTACGAGTACGGTACCGTCGCAGCGCAGCCCCACGAACGGCCAAACAGCATGTTCGCGAACAGGACCAATGTTCTATCATAAATTTCTGCACTTTCGCCGCGGGCGAATACATTCTTCGCGTGGTGAGTTAATAATCGTCGGCATGAGTGTTCAATTTTTTCTTTTTTTTCCTTCTCCTTCCCTTTTCCCCTCTCCCCCAGCTTTACTTTTTCGGATTTTTCCGAGGTCAACTTTTTTTTTCGCTGCTGCTGCCGTGCATGGGATCAGCCCCTTCTTATGATACACCTGGAGGGCATTATGTACGCAGAGAATACGTAATCGGGCTGCTGGAGAGGAAGGGAAGGGAAGGGGGGAAGCGATTTCCTCCAGGTCCTTGTGAGCTTGGACAGGGTGCTAGACTATTATATCGCGGGGTACATTAGGCGCTTTGCTGTAACCCTGCATGCCAGTGCTGCCCCGAGGGTACTTACAGTACAAGTAGCATACCCGCACGACACCATACGGGATACGATTGGCCATTGACCTCCCGGGCGAAGTCTCGTGAGGGGTGTGTCGTGGTTGTCGTGAAGGAGTCCGAGACGGCCGATAACACTGGAGACGACGGGAACCAAAGAAGTCTCGTATGCAATGCCGTTCGGGGACCAGGAGGGAGATTTTGACGATTTGCCTGCCCTACTGGCCTCTCAACCCTAAACTGATGGAGCGTGGTGGGGTGGATTTACACCCCTCCCTCACTTTTCCCTACGGAGGACTTGGATTGTTTATGTGTGCTGAGATGTGTAGATCATTATTTACCTCCTTGTATTGTTTCTTCGTTTGCAAGATTCCGGAACCCGGCTGCCCCGTCGTATTTGGGTGAACCTGCACGGCCAACGGGGAGAATTATATCGGGGTCTTGTACGGCCCTGAGAAAAAGTAGATAAGAAATCATAATATGCAGGGAAAAGAAGAGGGGTGAACCCTTAACGGACAGGGGTTTGGGCGAGGCCATTGGGATCAGGCGCTCGATATCATGTTCGGGGGTGGGGGGTGGGGAAAGGCCAATCATTTAATCTCATCCTCATAATCTCTCACTCGTGCCACAAGGTTTGACGCTCTGCGCTAGTTTCGGGCAAGGTTGCTTTTGGGGCTGGGATTACAATACCACCCGGAAGACTGTGCGTTTTCGCGTCGGCCTGATTGATTTTCAGCAGTTCCGCGGATCTCTCATGTAGATAGCCACATTCGGGTTCCTGGGCAGCGTGGCGGGTACTCGAGTATAGTGAGTATACCAAGGAGGGAGGGACGCAAGGAGGCACGTGGTGCAACATGGGGTAACTCGGGTAGATGGTTCATGCAGAATCGCCACGTTGAGAGCACTCTCCCCTTTCTGAGAGTGGGAGGAGGATTGTGGCACAAGAGTTACTCTACCGGTATTGCGCTATTCGGGATAGGATGTTGGTTGCCCGAAGCCCTGGTATGTTTTTTTGGCACATAAGGAGCCACGTGAATACCCTCGGCGTTTGAGACAGCATCCCCTAGGTGATGCCGGAATAGGCCCTAAGTCGGACGAGTGATACCATATGAATCGTTTTTCCTGCATCATAACTTATTGTGTATCAACAACTTGCTGGATATATTTGTGGGAAGATTATCAATAGTGCTGAAAGCTCCCGGCTATGGATGAGGAAAGGTTGTCCGTACGTTATGACGTATGCGTCCGGTTTAAGGTGGCTCACTTCACCACTGAGTTGTCAGGCCGAGATTGTTTACGCAAATTTTGTGGGTATTTATTGAATCAAAGAGTACAACCACCAAGTGGGGCCTATCTATCTACCCCCCCAAAGCGCGTCAATGAAAGGTGTTCGGGATAAAAAACTTAGGAGTAGTTGTCGAGCGGAAGATAGGAATAGATTCACGGATCCTCCACTGCCAAGATACTGGCGAAACCCCTTTGACATGGAAATAAGAATCAACCGTCAAAAGAAAAACAAGCAAAGGAGAAACAATGAAAGCTGGGGAAAAAAAAATTTAAGAATAATTAGCCATGCAAAACCCCAAGCCAAACATCCTGCCTGAACCCACCCCGATGTTGTGCAGAAAAAAACAAAAAAGAAGAGAATAAGAAAGATAGAGCCAACGACATGAAGCAATGAGGAGGATAGAATTTTTTCGTATTGATCGAAATCAATGAGGATGGGGAAAAGGGCTTTTCTTTTTCTTTTTCATCTCAAACAATTAACACATTACGACCACTTAAAGGCACTATAACACTTGCCTATTATAGATTCACTTGCCCATCCCCTAAAACAATTGAGGGTGTCCGTTATGGGTGCTATAAGTGGTGGAGGGGCTAGTGGAGTTGACCGTTGGATTTTTAGCCTCGCTGTTATTGTTGTAGTCTTGAAAGTGGTTGGGTATGTTGGATTGATGCATTAGTGTCTCTCGGCCGGGGATAGAGCTTTGGGACTCATTGGTTCCCCAACCACTGCCGGGAAAAATGTTATGGTAAACATTTGATCTCTGTGAGGTAGTGCTAAGGGTGTTTGGGAGATTGTTTGTTTGTTCTGAGCCCTCGTGAGCCTCCGAACGTGGGTAGTGTTCGTACGAGGAGTCACCACCGGAGGGGTATCCCAGGGAGCTTTGCCCATGAAGGACCGGATGAGCCATGTAGGAACTTCGGTCACCCAATGTCAATTCCTGCCCGTAGGGACTGGGATGGTACGGGGAGGTGATTTGAGACTGGGGTGTTGGAAAGTAATTTGAATTTGAGGAATTCAGTTCTTGGGGAGGGAACCCAGAATAGCTTCCGGGTTTGTTGGTGGGAAGGGGAGTGTACGGAGGTCCCATATTCTGAAGATGGGGTACCGACCTTATTTGGTGACCGGAGTATGTATGGGGAGCGATTTCTTCCGAGGGAGGAGCTGGGCCTGTGAGTGTAGACATATTTTGGGTGAAAGGCGAGTGATGGGATACCCCGGACGGTGGGTAAGTATCCAGCCCCTGGGGGTCCTTGGGAGGAAATAAAACAGCAGAAATTGGCGACACCTCTTGGGATACAGTTGCGGTTGGAGGGGTGGTAAATTCTGATTCGTGGAGGCCAACCGGACTTTGAGAAAAATTAGGCTTCTCGCCAATCACCTCAGTGTGATCGGGCCTACAAAGCTCATCGGTTGAGGTTACTTGGATATCGCCAACATCCGTTGTAGAGTCCTCTGCCTTAATTAACTTGGTTCCAGTAAGCGGTAAAGTCGTATCATTACCATCTGTGGAGGCCCCCCCCGTAGTCTGTTTCTTTGAAGCTCTCCCTGGCGTGTTGTGGGCTATATACCTCGCGGTCGCAGCAATTCTGAATAATCCTGTGGGAATGACAGTATGCTGAAATATTTACAAAAAGTTAGTCTTATGTCTTGAAATAAGGGAATAGTTAAGTTTGCGAAACATGCCTCCCAATGAGTTTGAATCCCGGCCCCTTTCATTACCATAACATCGCCGTGGTTGAGGCACAAATCTAGCATCGCTTTATTGGACCTTCCCTTAGCACGCGTAGAGGCTCCATTGGGTTGAAGACCTGCTGTCTCTCCCGAACCTTCCTCTTCTTCGTCTTCCAGATTCTCATCATTGTAGATGCTATTCCCAGACCCAGCGTCTTGGCAATGCTTCTCGGGTTCAGTTGTCCAACAATGACGATCATCCTTATACTTAGACTTCACACGAAATTTCATCCTTGCAGAACTGCCAAGGGAGATAGAGGCTACCGTTTCCCCCAAACCTTCTTCGCCATCATCGTGGTACTGCAGCATTCCAATATTAGAGAGTTAAAAATGTGATGCTTAGGGGGAGGAGTGGTCGTTACTCACATCCATTTTTTGTTTTTCAAAGTACCCCACATTAAGAACCTCGTTAAATTGAGCCTCGGGATGGATTAGCTGGACGCGCTGGTGGATCAGGCTCAGAGCCTTTAGGACAACAGGAGGGGAATCGTCAAAAGGGAGACTATTGACATCGACAATGAATTTGTAGGGAGCACCGCAGTTATACATAAATTGCTGGGTGAGTAATCTCCCCTGGGCTGTGTCGTTTGTTCATGTATTAGTATTCTTCCATGTCCGAGGAATCGGAGAGGTTTTGCTCACAATGGTGGCACTTCATAGGAAATCGCCTAAACGGCATATCACGATTTTGATAATTCTCCAGTAGCCAGTTGGCGTCCTCGGGCCTCGAGTTGCTCACCTTGTTAGCTAGAATATGCGTGACAGTACCGCAATCTCCTAGCTGATACTGAACTACTGTCAATCCATCTCTAACAAATCTCCCTGAGGCGATCTCTTCATGATGGAGATTGTTTGGAATGGCTGGTCCAGTGTAGACAGGTCGGTGGGGATCTGCAAGACGTGCGGCATCAAAGACAACACGACGCGGGGTATAAGAAAATTTGCATGTCGGGCAAAGCCATCCAGCCCAAAGCTCTCTACAGCTCAACCGCCCACATTTAGGGCAACACATCCCTTTCCAGAAAGGGCGCGAGACACCCCCACTCTCTACATGGGCAGAGTGTTCAGTATCCAAAGGCGGTGCCAGTGAATTGGGAGGTTGCTGGAAATCTTCAGGCCACGGAGTACGACAACCCAAGAAGTTTTCCGTGTAGGTAAGGTCAGCGGGCATACCAGCATCACCGAGCTAGATTTTTTTTTTAGCAAAATTAACGGAGTAATGAATTGCGTTGAATGGCTTACCATCCAAAAGCTCTTGCATTTGGGATTAAGACAAGCCCAACCTTGTTCATAAATGTGGGGGCTTTCCTTCTCACAGCTTAAGCAACTAGCTTTGGTCATCTCCTGGGGAGGATTTGGTTCCTCAGACGGAGTGGCGGCCCACCAACCATCAACATTGGCGTCTAGCTTTTCAAACCTAAACTTCCACCGAATGCATTGGCTGAGTGGGTCTTTCTCAGCCCAGGACGCAGTCACCTTGAACCAGTCCATCACACAATATCTATGGGGGACCTTCGATGGAGAGTTCGTACATTGATTGCCTATACTTAGTGTTAGTCTTAATAGCCTAAAGTCGCATGTTTGGTATTAGTGTAGCTAATACCCATTATCAAGACCAACGGCCACTTCTGCTTCATATTTTTGATTAGGTATTTAATCGTATTGTCGTCAATAGTCTGGTCTGTGAGCAGTCTCCGTTGGCCACTATCATCAGTCCCTGATTTCCCGCCGCTGTGTAACCCTGTGAGAAACCGTTTAAAATATAAAGTGGTTTTTGCTTAGACATACCTATGCGAAATGATGACTTTAGAGCTGATGTAGTCCCTGGGAGATGCGAAGCCATCGAGCAAGTACCCATGAACCAAACCATCATGGCCGTAGCAGCCTGCTTGATAGCTCCTATAGTAGGGCAAACTCTCACAAAGTTCTTGCCGAGTCTATTTACCATTGTTAAAGTGGGTAACGTTAGCCAGAAAGGGGTGGGAGAACCTACCTCACACCATACTTCTGGCTTGCGAATACCAGGAGGCTTGCCCTCTTGAAAATCTATTGAACTCCAAGGCAGGAGTTTCTGGTTTCTTGTGTTCTTGATCTCACTTTTGACCTCACATTCGATCTCACCATTGACATTGGATTTTCTTGGCCTCCCTCTTCTTCTGATAGGTGTATTTCGGGGAGGTAAATTTTCTAAATTCACGCTTGAAGATTTTTCTGGGTGTGGCGGCAGTGTAGCACTCCTGAGTTTTGTAAGCATAGGGGTTCGGACGTCGAGTCTGGGGTCAGGGTCTCCTTGCTTGCTGCGTTGTTGCTTGGGCCTAGCTCGGAGCCACCCAGTCTCTCTCTCGCACGTATAACCCGTACGCTCACACTTATCGCAGGGTAGGGCACGATCGCAAAAAGAACGAGTCTCACGGCAACTATAACCCTCAGGTATTAGGATGAACACAGAATAGCATGGGGTGTTGGAAAGGAACTCACCGGTCACACCCAAGAGGAACGCATAAAACACCCTCAACCAACTGGAATGCGTCCTTGTGGACGCGGGGATCGCGAACATCTAGCTCATTGGGCTCTCCCGAAGCTTTTGTTTTTGAGAGTGCTAAAGCTTGGCCGTCGTTGAGTTTCTGTTTTTTCAGAGCATTCTCATCTGAGATTTTCGGAGAACCACCGAATTCGTGATTTGCGGATCGCTCAGCACTGGGGGTCTCTGGACTAAGGCCTTCATTGAGAACAATACTACCCGGACCCAAAGGGGGCCCTTCATCTTCCGTGCAACTCTCAAAAACCTCATCTTCATCGGAAGACAGTGTAGGTTCTGAGTCCTTGGAACAGTTAGGAACACTATTGGAAGCCGAGTGCTCCTCCTTTCCAAGCTCAATAGTTCTTGGCGGAGGATTCCCTATACCGGGTTTTCGTCTTGCAGACTTTGTGGCGGGCTTTCGCGGCTTCAGTCTGGTTTCTAACCGATAATTGGCATGCATGGTATCTTTCCCGATCACACCACGCACTCCCGCGAGTGGCTCTAGCCCACCTGGTTCTTGATCCCCAGAATAACGTCGTGCTCTTCCCAATACAGTATTGCCCGTACCGGACTTGCTGGTGTATCTAGGTGGTAGGGACTTTGCACGGTCACACGCAGGCTCGGTCTCTGGTGCAGCAACAGTGCTAACTGTTTTTGTAGCGCGAAACCCCCACAAATTCTGCCCTCCCCCCTGATGCTTTCTCTTCAATGTTGAATTTGGGAGTGCCATGTCTGAAATCTCAGGTGACGCCAACTTGTGTCCTGTATTTTTTTTCTTGAGATTCACAGGAAGCTTCATTGTGTTTTTCAATCTACGCCTTGTAGCGGGCGGTGATATTTTTGATGGGGTTCTGGTGCCGGAGTTCCTCAACGCCATGTAATCGCGAACTCGTTGAGATGTGCGACGAAAACTGATGGTTGGTTTGTCAGGTTCTGTATCTGGCACCCGCAATACATCCACCAACTCAGCGACTGCACACACGTCAATCCTAGTGCGACGGGCACCGGATCGCAGGGCGGGAGCTGCAAAAGCAGATCCAGTCCGACCTTCTTCCAATTCATCCCCACCATCCTCAGCCTTAATAGAGACTGGAGAGTTCAGGAAGGAGGGAGCCTCCGAGAGTGGGGATGATGATGACCCATCAGCTCGCCCTAGGTGACCAATCGGGGTGCTAGGTTGAGGTAAAGTAACATTATCCTCAACTCCAGCAGACCCAGTCCCAGCATGGGAGTCCTGGACTAGAATTACCAGAAAACAGTTAGAGGCATTTTTTTTAATAAAAATAATAATAAACCTTGCGTGGCAACAGCCAAACGAGTGAAACACTGTGACTGACAACAGTAAAATAGGATAATAGCTAATTCACCAGGCACTAACACTAAAGCATAATAGTGAAACAGGCTCTGTCACATAAACGCTGGGTAACAATAGTAGAGCTGTTAGGTAAGGGTTGGGTGACCGAAGGTAAATCCACACCTGGGAGCAAAGAAAAGCAAAAGACAAAAATAAAAATAGACATGGGCAAACCAGAAAACCAAAGGATAGAAAATTCTGAAAAGAAAGTCTTACCTTCCAGTGAATTATGATCATGCATTGTGGAAATTTTTGTAGCGAGAGATCGAGAGGATATGAAATGCCAGTAAAATTTCTTTTAGAAAAATCTACCGGAGGGAAGTGGGTGAGTGGTGAATGGATAGTGATGGGTGAAGCGGAATAGGCAGAGTGAGAATTGCCAATAGAGAGGGGGTATATATATTGTCAATCTAGGAGAAAGGATGAAGAGAGGGGAATGATTTGGAGAGTGATGGGGGGAGGGAGGGGTATGATGCCAAATAGAAGGGTGAAATGGCAAATAGAAGTGGGAGCGAGGGGAGATAGAAGGTGGGGTGACGGGAGGGATGGGGATGGGGAGAGAGATAGAATGAGAAAAAGGTGTGGAGATGGTGAGGTGAAAGAGAGAGAGTGTGTGGGGGGGTGGGGAGGAAAGAAGGAAAGAAGGGAAATGAGGGAAATGGGGGAAACTGGTGAGAGAGCAAGAGAGGAAGGGAGAGAGGGGAAGGGAGAGGGAAGGAGGGAGGGAGGGAGGGAAGGAGGGCTGTAGGGTCGCTAGCAAATAGGGCGACGAGGTTGCGAGTGCACACACACCCCCGCTGTCGTTTTTCCACGTAACGTCAGCGCAGAGGGTTAAGGTTGGCAGACACGAGGCTCCCGAAGGGCCCAAGGAGCTGGTTCCTGGTACCGCAAAAATAAGCAGGGTGGAGCTAATCACAGGTAAGTGCTGTGAATGTCTGAGATATTCTGCACATGCAGGGAATTTAAAGTTTGGTGGATTCCGGCGGTAGCCAATTTTTCGACACGGGAAGACGATTGTAATATATGATCTTTAGGAGTTTTCAAATTTCAGCCGAAATACGCCGCTTCTTGACTGACCTCACTCACATCTGAGGCAAGTTCCTTGGACCACAGCGTGGGACTTTTTTTTTTTTTCTTCTTCCTTTCCTTTTTCCTTTTCACCTTTCCTTCCTTCCTTCTTTTTTTTTGAGTCGAGGTTCACACCGTACCCATAGCCGCCGAGCAGAACCTAGGGTTATTCGGGGTAGAGCTTACCGAGAGAGTTCGTGTCTTCTGTTTATCGAATACATACAGGCTCCGGGGATGGTAGAGGGGGGGAAAGAGACTGACGAGATAAATACCTTCCATCGGGACTTGAAAAAGGAGCAGAATTATGTAGTCATGTGTACCCGCCATGTATCTCGGACGGTGTGATAGCCCGAGCCTGGAGTGCGCATGTCGGTAGGCTGCCCTCGCAATTCACGCCCCACAATCCCGCCTGTGTCATATAATACCCGCTGCATGGATGCTAACACGGCCAGGGCAGACTCCCTATCCATTGGCTACAGCCTGCACTAGCGTAGTGGGACGAGCTATCATTCGCTTGTGTAACGGTCCACCTGAGACTTGTGCAGGAATGCACCGCGCTCCTCTTCATCGTGAATGCGATACGGTGAAGAGCAGGACACCCTGATTCTTCCCCCATATGACGTCCTGGCCGGCCCAATACATTAATGGCTGAAGGTGTCTAGGTGTACGCTATAATTCGGGTTTCGCGAGCACACCATTACCCCCTACAGGAGCTTCCTTGGTCTTCGGAATAGGCGATAATCTATTGGGGGAAGATCACCCTTCCAGAGGCCATAGAAGTACCTTGAAGGAAGCAGAACATACAGCTATTTTAGGAAATTTAACCCGCAGCAGAGAATTCTGCGGACACAATGCTACCCAGGGAGAAACAATATCATTTGGCCAAGTACCATAATAGAATTGCGCAATTGAATGTGAGGTCGTGGAGCTATGCTCACTATTCATCTCGCAACCGTAAGCTTGGTTGGCGGAAAGGGAAGCCGGGTTCACTAAGCCCAACGCGGAATACCACCACCGCCACCAAACAGTTGTATACGGATCACTCCAATATAAGTCAATCGTTTCCCCTGTAAAACATTGCACCATTACACCCTCAACCGCCGCATTTCACAACTGCCCTACTAACAAATCCACGCGCCTCCATCGCGCCCCCACCGCACCAAGAGGTAGGTCGTTGATTTGCTTCATAACTTCGGAGCTGCAGGCTTCGATTTTGCCAAGCCTGCAGTTCCAGTTCAGGCCTTATATCCAACATCTAGCGGTCTCAGGAAATTACGGGACTGAATTATTCACAAAAGCGGTCACCTCGGAGGTGCTTGCAGTTACCATGCAGTCGCAATAGGTGGCCCGCGGCAACCCCACATATTGGCGTTAATACGGTAAACAAGAGCTGCCGCCAGGATAGCTCGAGCTACCGAATTATAACTTTCGACCTGAATGTCTCAAAGCCTATTATCGGTGTTGATAAAAGTGAGCGGCCTAGCTATGCCCCCGCCCCTACTCGAGTAGGTTGCCGGTAGGTATACGTGTGCAATTATGGTATGATGCATGCATATTGACTCAAAAGTTCCAAGAACGTAAGTTATCTACCATCCCTAATTTCACTTCCTGTCCTCACCCTCAACCTTGGCGCCGGATGGAGGGTCACTGAGCGCAGATCCCCCTCCGTATAATTGACGAGATCCGCCTCCCCCTTCATTCTCTACAGAGAGGGCGACCGGGTAGTTCCCACGAAACCGCTTCCGCATATCAACCATTCCCCGCCTCATCAAATATTAGAATTAAGATTCTGTCCATAAAGATCAAGTCTTGAAGCTTACTTGCATTCACCGTATCCTTTCTTCAACTGTTGGCATCGGGTCGGTAGCGTTTCAACGAGTGGCGACCGGAGACAATCAGCCGGTTTGTTTCGATGGACCATCACACAGTCTGAATTTCCAAGACATTGTGCCAGTGCCGCTCCTACGGAAAATCAATTGTCAGCTACTGAATAACTAGGATGCCATGGGCTGGATCTCACGAATGTCTTTGCATGAGGACGGCATTGCGTCTGCGATGAATTAATTTCAGGGTTGAGTCTTGAAGGTCCAGAAAAGGTTTCGGTGATCTGTGCCAAGCTCAGGCTTATCCTTGCCCGATACAAGTACAATACCGGTAAATAGGCTTGGGCTTGCGGCTGCTGGCACATGCCACCGTTGTTGGTATGAATGAGGTCAGCCACATCCGTCTCCCCGTCAGCCAATTCCTAAACGGGACATAAGAGAAAGTTAAGCTAATGATATCTAGAAGAATTCACAATTATGGAGGCTTCCTCTCCGCACCGTGCCTTATCACTTGCAGATTAAGCTTGGGTCATCCCAGTACACCGCTACTTGTACAGTACTTACTCGCATAGCCAGAACATGGAAGGCGCAGCCTGAGAGATGCCATACTTGTCCAAGGATAGGAGTGCCCGAAAACAGGGATTAACAAACCAGACGGTAAAAATCTGCGCGTATCAGAGCTCCGGTATAAAATATACCCCCTCCTGTTTTCCGGTACCATACTTACGGCCGGGGGTCCAGGGCGAGTACCTGTGCGCCAAAGACATATCAAATCCGTCGAATAGCGGAGGCGGGAGGTGGCTGCAAGAGGCCCATGGTGTATGGGGCGAGTTGATTCACCCAAGCCCGCTGAATGGGCTCCCCTCGGTGCGCACTTGCGGATATCCCCTCCGAAAAGTGGTATACGTCCTGGCCGGGCGCCTTAACGCTAATGTCCATCGGTTAGCCCTGACAAGTTGTTCTAGGATCCCAATGCCGTTTGAGGCTCGTCTTCTAAACGTACCTATCTTTTTGTAAGGGAGGATTGGCGCTAAGACAATAGATCCAACGAGAGGGCCAAAAAGACCTATGAATTGCCATGTTCTGAGCAAAAGGCCTAGAGGCAGTTAGGCAAGCCCCCTATCTTGAATCCAGCTTTTATAAAAATATGCGGTATCCAGCAGGGTAGTCGCCGATCGAAAGGCCGGCTGCCCCCGGAAATCACCTTGACTTCTACTCACGACAAAAGCTTCCCAGAATTACACGGCACAGCACTAAACACCCAGGGTAATGTGGAGGGAGGGAGTGGCCAATTAACACCCATTCCGTTCCTATCAGAGTTCCCAGGATCCCACCGTCGCATCTGTCGATGAAACAAGCTAAAGCAAGTTGCGGCATTTTGTCATGGTGCAGTTTTGTCCGACGTTCTCCAGTCGCCCTGCGGACCGAGACCTCACCTTCCGTAACGATTCTCCCGTCCGCACAATGTTCAAGGTCCCTCTAAGCCACCAACAGGTATGATGTGGGGTGTATCATACCGGTATCTCAACGAAAAAAGACAATCCAGGAAGGGTTAGGGTACAGATATCTAGGAAGCCCGAATGCGCCCGGGATAATTTGATACCAGAATGGAAAGCCACATGTGCGACCTACAATCATGCAGATATCTTACTGCATTAAGTTAGTAGGATCCTTGAATTTGGGAGCTCTTGCAGCGCCGAAAGTGTAGCCACCCAATTGGCGGGGTTTTTACTGGTTAAATCAATGTAAAGTAGGTTAGATTCACCCTGTTTCTGCCAAAATGATGGAACAACTGCCATTAATCTGGTATGATATTATGACTCGGGATGGAACATTTCTGCACCACCTTTCATTCTTTTGATTTGCCGCAGGCGGTGCGCAGTGACTTTAAGAAGCACGAGGGTGTGGAGTCTGCAACTGCAGAATGCCAGTGTGCTCCTCCTCCAAACTTCCCATAAAAAGCTACCGGCCTGTCCTATCATAGAGCAACCCCCATATGTTGGGCTTTGTTTTTCTCCCCCTCCGCCTATGGTACCATAGCGAATATCAACGACTCTCTGAAAACGTGTTTAAGGTATCTGATGCATAGTGGTAATGCTCTATCCCAAGAGTAAACAACAAAACGAAAAAATAAAAATACCATGCTAATTTCGACCGGGTAGAAAAAAACACCTCCACTACCTCGATCATCTTCAGATTCTCCTCTGGGCCCACCCGCCAACAGACCGATAACAAGAATCGAGCCTTTTCCACCCATTCACGAAGAGGTACATGGCCGCAGTGTTCCCGCGGCGTGACATTCCCCGGACTCTGAGGACGACTGAGGATTGTTCCCCCCCCTTTTCCAAGTTTTGATCAGGCTTTGGCTGAACGCCTTCCTTGGTGATGAGCCTGAGTTCTACCGATTTATATATAGAACCCACGGTCCCAGAAGTTTGCGCAGCTCGAAATGCCGACACTCCTACTCGTATCTACCTATCCAACTCAAAGCGTCTCGCTTCCCCGGGTGTTTATGTGATGTTGCCTCAATGGTACGCAGGCGAAGAGATAGAGCATAGTAACAAGCAAACGGCAGGTTTGTGCTGTACTAGTACTAACTCTCGGCTGTTGCTTAACTAGCGTTTATTTAACTTCGAGAGCGCCAGATCCGCAAACTGAGAACCAAACAAGATTTAGTAAGGAATATGCGAAGCCTATTGCTTAGAAATTTATCAAGTATCATAAATACACAGCACACAGAGATGCATGTGCACCTTCCCTGGCACAGGGGCTACAGAGATCTTGATCATAAGGAATGACTCGTTTATCATGCTGAGTTATT